TCAAATAATAGGAAATATTGTCAACCTGATTTCTTCATATATTTGGTAAATATTATTGATGGACAAATAGCTATAACTTTTATTATGTAACTCTTACTGTGTACATTGTATTTAGTCACCTATCTTTGAAACAGTACTATATGCCTTTAACCCAAATACATTTAACATATCAGTTGCACTGCTTTCAGCCAGAAGTTAGTAAGTCAAATATTCAGTGTTCAAGTAATACAAGTTCTTTCTGAAAGTGAGGACATGTAGTACTATAGTCAAAGACAGAGGTGATTGGAACATAACACAAGAAGGAAGGGAAAGAATTTCCCTTGACTTAGGAGAGCCATATTCAAGGGTGATTATGCCTGCTCTTCCAATGAGCAAAAAGAAAACAAGCAAATATCACAGATGAAAGAAGTGGCACTACAGTAGAAGGAAAGGCTTTGAATGAAAGAAAATAATTTTTAAAACATAGCATCTACCTATAATTCTAAAGACAGAACTTTTTTGGTAAAATTCATAGTGGTTTTAAATTAACCACTATTTAAAACCATAGTGGTTTTAAATTAACCTGTACAAACAACTTATATTAAATCTCATTACCATTCTCTTTAATGACATTTCTTTAAAGCGGCTAACATATGAGGAGAAGATGGCTCGAAGATTGCTAGGACCACAGAATGCAGCTGCTGTGTTACAAGCTCAAAATGACAGTGAGGCACAAGATTCACCACAGGTAAATTAAAATAATCTTTATCTAACTGGAATCCTTTTTGTGTGTATGATTTTTAAATATCTGCTTTCTAAATGTTTATAAATAGCATTCAAAGTAAAAGTCAATCGCTTCCCTGGGAGAGGCGGTGATAACCTAAAATATATATGTGAAGTTTTAATTTTACCCCCTTTTCTGGTGGTTCTAATATTCCCTAAGAAATGTCACATGCCCAGCCAGCATGGCTCAGTGGTTGAGTGTCAACCTGTGAACCAGAAGGTCACGGTTCAATTCCCAGTCAGGGCACATGCCCAGGTTGCGGGCTCAGTCCCCATTAGGAGGAGTACAGGAAGCAGCTGATCAATGATTCTCTCTCATCATTGATATTTCTCTCTCTCTCTCTCTCTCTCTCTCTCTCTCTCTCTCTCACCCTCTCCCTTCCTCTCCCTGAAAATAGTAAAAATACATTTGTTTTAAAAACACTTTAAAATGAAGGTGGTGGTACCAGGAAAAGAGACAGCAGCAAAATATATCATTATGAAATCAGAAAATATAAATCCTACATTTTTTGTACACTTCAAACAAAATGTCATCAAACTATGTATAACTGAAGTTTACCATCTACAAATACAAATATATACATATTCAAACCACCTTAAAATGACAAAGTAAAAAACTTACTAAAACGTTTTCAGCTTAAAAATGTACTACTTATAAATCCCTCAAGCTTCCCACATATCTTTTTAAAAAACAATGTGAATCTTCTAATGTCAGAGATGATGACCAAAATTTTTGGAAATTTTGAGTTTAACTGGATTATTTTTAATTTTTTAAAAAAATAGTTGATTTGCTTGATCACTAAATTGTTTTGACATTTTGCTTAGAAAATCTTACTGCCAGCCAAAAATTGTGAGTTTTAAGAATTTTGTTTTAAAATGACAAAATACATTAAACATATTCATCCAGAAATAAATTATTTGTAATGATCTGCTGTGTTGCTGTACAGATGTTTTTCAGATATTTGAGTAGGAACTATATTTTTCACTTCTTTGTATCTCCCACTATGCCAAGAACAGTGAAATATATAAACAGGCATTAAATATTTAATCAATTTATTAACTCTACTATAATTTCCATCAATTCCTGATTTTACTTTCAAATAGAAATAATTTTCTGGTGCTCAGATAATAAATTCTAAAAGATGTTTGCTTAAATTAAATATATCTTTATTAAGCAGGAAGTAACTAATGTTGTTTTTCAAAGACTTTTCATAGCTCTACACATGTCTTCCATGAAGTCCATCAGGATTTTGTGTCATGAGCTAAAAAGAGAAGTATTTTCCAGTCTAATATGTGTTTACTGCTGTTGGTGCCACTTTTAAGCAGCAGGTATAATACCCTGTATCTACTGCCAACAAAAATGACTTCATGTCTATTCCTGTTTTACTAAAGGACAATCTGTACTAAGTGCTCCCATTGCAAATATACCAGAGGGACACACCATCCTTTGTCAAAAAAAAAAAATAGTCAACTGGCCCAGCCAGTGTGGCTTAGTGGTTGAGTGTTGACCTATGAACCAGGAGGTCACAGATCAATTCCCAATCAGGACATTGCCCAGGTTGCAGGCTCAATCCCCAGTGGGGTTGTGCAAGAGGCAGCCAATCAATGAATCTCTCCCATCATTGATGTTTCTATTTCTCTCTCCCTTTCCCTTCCTCTCTGAAATCCATAAAAATATATATATTTTTAAAATAGTCTGAAAAATGAACCACTATCAACTCGGTCTCATAAATCATGCCTGTCGAACAGTCTTATTAATTCTGAGGATTTCTTGCTAGAATATTATAAGGTCAGTGCAGTATGTTTTAAATGTTTAAAAGCTAAATATATAGAACTGACCATAACTGTAAAAATACAGTTAACAGAGAAATGTGTCCACGTCCTGCGTGGTTCAGGGTTCAGGATCTGGAGAATGGCCGCGTGCAAATGACAGAGATGAGACAAGAAATAATAATTTGGAAATACTGGGGGCCAGGAGGGAAGCCCAGTGCGAGGGAAAGGACTTCCACTAGTGCGTAGGCCTTGCCAACCTTTTATTCAATTTTGGATACACATCTAGCTCTTAGACAGGTAATTGCAGTAACAGACAAACTATCTTAAAGGCCAGTAAATATTAGAAAGATTTACTCTGAGACTATTTGGTCAGGAAATTGCTTGAGCCCCCATTGTCTGGACTAAACAATCTGTGCGTAGCTCTGGCCCTTGCCAGGGGCTCCAGGTTCACCAGCGTTTGGGATCCTTGTTTACACTTCTCTGACAGTGAAGACAATGGGTGGCTTCCCACAGAAATGTTCCTTTCAACTACAACTACTTAGTTCTGCTTCATTTCAAGCTAACAATTATATGTTGACATTATCACTCTGTTTTAATTTCAAGCAGCACAATTCAGAACATGCACGGTTGCAAGTTCCTACATCACAAGTAAGGTAAAAAATAATTTCATTCTAAATATATATTTTGCTATCTGAAATTTTTTAGCTTAAAAATGTAACCCTTTTAAAGCTCTCAAGCTTCTCATATACCTTTTATAAAAAACAATGTGAATTTTCTAATGTCAGAGATGGTGACCAAAATTTTATCTGGCCCTGGCCGGTGGTGCTCAATGATTAGAGCATCGGTCCATACACCAAAGGGTCATGGATTCAATTCTCAGTCAAGGGCATATACCTGGGTTGCAGGTTCAATCCATGGGGTACTCTGCATTTTAGTAGATCAGTTTCTTCACCAATTCATGGCATTGTAAAAAAGAAAGAGTGCAATTTGTACCAAATGTTTTTAACTGCTACCATTTCTAATAGTTATCAAATATTCCACAGCTAAATACAGCCCTAAGGCCTTTCTCCATTGTTACTACACTATCAAACAGTATAGACTCTGGGGTTTCAGATTTGATGGCTAAATTATGTTTGTGTGAAAGTAAGAACAATTACAACTTTTTGCATAGTAGTTATTAAAATACTTTTGTAGAAGTAGATCATCTTCAAGGGGAGGTGTGAATGATGAGGATGCAATCCAGGAGAAATTTTACCCGCCTCGTTTCATTCAAGTGCCAGAGAATATGTCAACTGAAGAAGGGAGATTCTGCAGAATGGACTTCAAAGTAAGTTTCAAAATATTGGAAGAAAATTAACAATGGGATACTAAGTTTTAAAAAATGTTCTCTTCCTCTTCATAGCTTGCTATACAACTTGAGAAGTAGTATGTATAGTGGATAAGAACACAAATGCTAGAGCCAAGCTTACCTGGGTTTGAATCCTGGCTCTGCCACTTTCCAGCTATATAACCTTAGACAAGTAATTTAACCTCACTGTGCTAATGAGAATAACACAGAGAATAACAAATGTACCTACTTGATAAAGTTGTTTGAGGGTTGAGTAAATAGGTATAAGGTATTCACAACAGTGCCAACCACCTAATGAATGCTCTAAGTGAAGCTATAATAATAGGATTTCAAAAGTAGAGTGCCTCTTTAGTTCTTCTCCATTAAGAAATTCAAGCAACTCTGCTTTCTCTCTGCCTAGAAGAGTTCTTCAAACTAGGCCAGCTTTTCCTACAATTTCATTATCCTCATTTTGGAGAATTTTTTCTTATAAAATGCTTTTCTGGATTGAAAAACATTTTATAAGAATGAAAGTCAGTATGTGGACTTAATTGTTAAGGCTTATATAAGAACACTTAACAAACTGCCACTCATACACCAGAACTACAGCTCGAGAACACTGTTTTGGAAAGGTTATTCATTAGATCAGCAAGCCTCACATATATGTGCTTCTGGGACTGCTTTTGCAGTCACCATTAGCCAGAAAAGCCATATGACTTCCATAGTCCTTTATTAAAAGATCTTAAAGAGCCTGAGGTTGCACATGAAAGAGCTAGATGTGGTTTAAGATAGTCATAAAATACTATATTAATTTGAAGAGTTTTAATTTATACTGTTTTGTTAAAAATTATTGAAAGCAAATATCTTTTTAAGCTCTTGCTTTGCATTTTCAATCACAAACCCACTAGGGTACTGAAATTGTTAAAATTCATAGACAAATGGGTTCCAGTGATGCTATCGTTTAAAACTCTGTTATCTCCTTATGTTTTCATTTCTAGGTGAGCGGACTGCCAGCTCCTGATGTGGCATGGTATCTAAATGGAAGGCCAGTTCAATCAGATGATTTTCACAAAATGATAGTGTCCGAGAAGGGTTTTCATTCACTCATCTTTGAAATGGTCAGAGTTTCAGATGCAGGGGCTTATGTATGTGTGGCCAAGAACAGAGCAGGAGAAGCCACCTTTACTGTGCAGCTGGACGTCCTGGGTAAGCCCTCCAAGAGATCACGAAGTATCTTTAATCCTGCAGTATTAAAAAAGAAAGTATTAAAAAAGAAAATCCTAGAGGACTTCATAGTTAAGGTTAATGTCCACACCATACAACCCAGTAGAACCCCAGTTTTTACCCAAAAGCCAAAAATGAGGTGGGAGGATGAGGGGGATAATATTCTTGAGGAAAACTCAGTGAAATTAGAATGATAGATCTACCACCAAAGCTTTTCTGGAAAGGAAATAAAGAAGTGGTACAATTTCAGACAGACCAATAAGATAGTAGAAGCATTTCTATAGATGTAACAAACAGGTCTTAAAGTGAAAAATTTTAGTCTAATCATTTGTCTGGTCTACAATCTAAAATAATCAATCTGACACATTTTCACAGAATTGTCGTAATCATGCATAGTTTAAAACTGAAGAATAAATGTCAACTTTTACCTTAGACTGTGTTCCCTTTACTAGGACACTCATCTGTAATTATGATAAAAACATGCCTACTAGCTTTAGAAAACATGTATGGCAAAACTCATATCTTAAATGTTCTTTGTAAGGCTATTCTCATAAAGTTGATGTTCTATTTTAAATTATTACAATTTAAATGCTTTAAATATATCACATTTGTAATGGTTTAAGCTATGGTATATCACATAAAAGAGTTTGCTATCATTCATTTTTTGTTATATAAAAGCTTGACAACTTGAAAAATTTTCTTCAGTTTGTATTCTACCCAGATCAATGAAAAATCTTTAAAATTATTCTATGATATAATAAGGGGCCTCAGTCTAAGAGAAAAATGGATGATCTAGAAATCAAAAAGCAAAAAGTCAAGTGATTAAGCTTTGGGCAAATCCTCCTTGCGCCAATAGTTTCAGAAATGCCATAATGTTAGAGCTGAAAGAGACCTTGGCAGGCATCTGTCCAATCTCCTCATTTCTCCCTCAGAAAAGCTAGGGTTATGGTATTATAGTATCATTTCCTCTTATCCTTCAGGTATTTGAAGAAAAGACAATCATTATTGACATTTGTATATTATTTTATTGTTTACAAAGTGCTTCTTCATTCATTATCTCAATTGATCCTCAGAATAATTTTGTATGGTAAGCACAGCAATCACTATTGCCTGTGTATTGTATTATTTTACAATGGATAACACTGAGCCTCAGAGAAACTAAACAAAATTTCCAGAAGTTGGCATGGCTAATGGAGCAAATAGAGAATTTGAACCCAAGTTGATGGTACTCTTTTGCACCACTCATGCTGCCTCTCTATAGATGACATGATAAATGACATTAAGACTTAAATTCTTTGAATGAAACATGATTATAAATTCAATGCATCATTACCTTACTGTTTTAGAACTCTGAATTGTATAATACAATGGTATTGTATATTATTTTAGCAAAACTAAAACATGAAGCTTCCAATCTTTTTTACTTTTAAAAACTTTTATATCAACATACAAATTTCATAATACTTTGGTTTGATTTAATATCTTTTTTATAATATTTAAAATACTTGATTTTTTTATTAATATGTAGCAAAAGAACATAGAAGAGCACCAATGTTTATCTATAAACCACAGAGCAAAAAAGTTTTTGAGGGAGACTCAGTGAAGCTAGAATGCCAAATCTCAGCTGTACCTCCACCAAAACTTTTCTGGAAAAGAAATAATGAAATGGTACAATTCAACACTGATCGGATAAGGTAGGATAAGTATTTCAAGATTTAACTCTAATTTACTTTAGTCAATCCAGTTACACTTTGAAATGCATTATAAATGGCATGCATTTGTGATCTCAATTTGTCTCATTTTTAAAACATATATAGAAATATAAACTTCATTAAGCCAGAATCCACTAATCAGAAATTTAAAGCATAAAGTAGGCTAGCATTTAGCTTGTTACTAACAATAAACAAAGATGGCTCAAAGAAATAGATGATATAAACAAGATTTGCTGTGGGGATATTTAATTCGAGAAAACTAATAGCTATTTGGCAATGACTAAATATAGCCTCAGAATTCCCAAATGCTTCTTTTTCATATTAGTCTGACTTTGTAGATCACGAACATCCTAAATAAACTTTCACAGGAAAATCAACTCCTATACTTTCATTTTTTAATTGTTTCTTTTCAGCTTATATCATGATAATTCTGGAAGAGTTACTTTACTGATAAAAGATGTAAACAAGAAAGATGCTGGGTGGTATACTGTGTCTGCAGTTAATGAAGCTGGAGTGATCACATGTAACACAAGATTAGATGTTACAGGTATGTCACACTGATATAAAGCATTAAGTCAAGTGTTATAAATGACTTTACCAGGAAGTCACAAATCCCAGCATAGCACAAAATCTGAGGGATTTTTCCTATATATATAATCAGTTTTGGTTTCTTTTTCTTTTCCTAGTCTGATATGAATGTCTAGTGCAACCCCTTTGTTTAGGTTTTCTAAATTAATTTTTATTTGCTCTATTTCAGCCCGTCCAAACCAAACTCTTCCAGCTCCTAAACAGTTACGTGTTCGGCCAACTTTCAGCAAATATTTAGCACTTAACGGAAAAGGTTTGGATGTGAAACAAGCTTTTAACCCTGAAGGAGAGTTTCAGCGTCTGGCAGCTCAATCTGGACTCTATGAAAGTGAAGAACTTTAATAACTTCACCAACATTGGGAAGCACAACTACACTATTAGTAATATATTCAATTGAAGTTTTGAAATAAATCGATAGCTGTATTAACAGATTATGACTTTCATTAGGTAATAAAACTAATGTACATTTATAATATTATTTATCCTTTGACTCTTGCACATTCTATCTACTTCTCTGGCTCGTGAAGCCAACAGAAAATCCAGGTACATGGTTTGTAATTGTAGAAGACTATCTTAAATTAAAATGTGGGATTTTAAACATTGAAGTCATACATTTAACAATTACAGGTTACAAATTAATATCAACTTTTTAGACACAACTAATGCTTATAAATACTGGTACTGCTTTCTAAATACTGTTTTACCCATTTTCTCTTATACGAATACTAACATGGTAATCAATTATCTGAGTGTTCCGAAGTTTTATCTCAAAAAGAATAAAATTTCAATTACTTAAAACAGACTGCCTTCTCTTTACAAAACCCTAGATCTTTAACATAAAACTTCTGGTTTTTATTTATCCAACAACTAGCAAACCTTAAGGATAACAAGTTCCAAAAGAACATTATATTCTAGAACGGTGTGTCTTCTTGGTAAAAACTCACGGCTCGATTTCTCCTGAAACTGGGCCAGATTTTCCAAGGTTTGCACTTCAAAAGCATGAGGAAATCTCTCCTGAAATTCTCATTGTTTTATCCAGATAAGTAGCTAATTCTTCAAGATCTTTGAGACTATTGAACTCGATGGAATCTGAACTATTTGTAGCCCTAACTGGTTTGGCTCAGTGGATAGAGTTTCGGCCTGCGGACAGAAGGGTCCCAGGTTGGATTCCGGTCAAGGGCATGTACCTTGGTTGCAGGCACATCCCCAATAGGGGGTGTGCAGGAGGCAGCTGATCGATATTTCTAACTCTCTATCCCTCTCCCTTCCTCTGTGTAAAAAAATAAAAAAATATATTAAAAAGACAAAAGCAAAGCTTGGATTTAAAAAAAAAAAAAAAAGAACAATCTGTAGTCATCTGCTTAATTCTTATATTTAATGTAAACCTGAATAGCTGTATTTTGGGGTTTTTTTCCTCCTACATTTCAAGCTCAGATAGCCTGTTACATTAAAAAGCATACTTTTGTAACCATCGGAGAGTCTGCGCGCAGGAAAGGGCAGACCCTTTTATTAAACTGAAGCTGGGACAGCAGCCTTTTCTTCTCTGGCCCCTGTCCAGCGGCTGTTAGGCCTCCCTGTCCCTTTTATCATCGGTAGCCTCTGACCCTCCCTGCTGTGTGGCCTCGTTTTTGCTTTTTATCTGCACATAAAACAGCATTTATCAACATCAGTCTACATCTCTTTCGGGAAAATAACAAAAATGGCTTTATTTCTTTACTTTCAAAACAGCTTGATGGTTTTCCCTGCTGGCGGCCCCAGGGCCCTTCAACTGATTCCCGCTGTATTTTCCTTTCACCGGCGTGGGCGTCCCTTCCGCCTCCGCCCGGCCGGCTCGGGTGCCCGTTCACAGCGGGTTTGCTCGGCCTTTTCTACAGCTGGTTTACGAACCTCCCTCGTCTTAGCAAAGCGCCGGGCCAGATGTGAGTCTGGGCCCCCAAGGAGTACTGTTTCGGCCGGCCTTTTCCATAATCACTGCAACGCTGGGTTATTATTTATTTGTTCGTGTTTACCTATGTTAACGTTCCCTTTAGCCATACCGAGTGGGAAAGGAGGCTGGAAGCTATTTCTGGCAACATCTCTCGGCTAATAGCCAGTTTCTCCGAGAGCAGAGGCAGGGGGGGTCTCGGTTTCGCCTCGGGCCCAGGCGTCCGGCCCGGCCAGCCTGCACTTGGATAAATTAGCCTCTCGCACCCTCGGTTTCTTCAGACCTAAAATGAGGACAAAACACCTACCTTTCAAGAAGGGGTGTGTGAAGACCAAACAAGCCAATAAGTATTAAAAGTATTCAAAAAGAGTAGCCCGTTGTAGTGAGTTACCACTATTTTTATGATTAGCCGCAGGCCCAACGCCAGGTTTACCCTAGAAGTCGCCCTCCGCTGGAGGCGAACACCGCGCCCTCCAACCCCACCTCGGGCGAAGCGCTTCTAGAAGGTCCTCCGTGCGCACGCGCGCTCACAACCTGCAGCGCCGCGGGCGCCCCTCGCGGAGCGGCGGGCTCGCGCAGGCGCAGGAGCGAGGCGGCTGGCGCAGGCGCAGGCGCAGGCGCGGCGGACCCAGGGTGGTTGAGCCGGCGTCTCTCCCAGGCCCGCCATGCCTGTGGCCTCCCGTTGGCACCGAGGCGGTGAGGGATGCTTGGGGGGGGGGGGGGGGGGGTAATTTTGTAACCTCGTATCTGTTCCTGTGAGAGAGAGATGACCTCCAGCACCCTTAGCCTTCACG